TGCGCCTCATCCTCCGCTACTTGCCATGCGAGGGCTAGGTCCTCATCCTCACACTCTTGCTCGAAGCCCTCGGCTTCGACCTCAGCAATGAGTTCCTTCTGGACCTCCCGGGCCAGGGCGGCATCAGCACCAACCGAAGGCTCGCTCACGGACTCCGCATCAGAAACGTGCTCCTCGTCAGCCGAAGGGTCCCCCGATATGTTTTGGGAATCGCTCTCGGACGACATTTTTTATCACAAAATGTGCCTAAGATTTCGAAGGCTTTCTACAGGACTTTAACCCTAATCTAAGGCCAGAGGGCGGAACTTACTAAAAGTTTTGAGAGGAAAGCAGGACACTGACCTTGAAAGCTGAGTTTTGACCGAAGGCTTGAGTTTCTCTCTCTAGAATTTTTGGCAGAGCTTCGCTAAGGATGTTGGATGCGTAAAGAAGGAATGGCATTGGCTTGGGGTATTTATAGGCTCCCAGATCCGGGCTTGGGCCGAGATCCGGGCTCCCAGCAGCCAAAGCCATCATTACGCACCGTCGTTTCACCCAACCGGTGACGCCCGCCCACGAGCAGCCAACGGCTACACTCCACGTGTACCCCCCCAACGGCTATAAATCTGACGCTACATATTCCAACGGCTATATTTGCAACGGCTATATTCTGGAAGCCCCGGGGTTTTCTCACTTCACTCCACTTCATCAAGGAAAGCCTCCGGGTACACTTACCACGAGACGCCCCCGGTTTGTGCCGTACACAGCACATAACAGACCCCCTCGGGATCACTCCTTTAGAAGCACAAGGCTTCACATCAGGCCACCCCTCGGGGATTCCCCCTCAGCACTGTAAGGGCCGGTTAGCCCCCGGCCGATAGGCGCTTGACACGTGTCCCTGTCCGACATTTATTGCTACTATAAATAGCACCCCATTTCCCCATTTGTAACCACGCTGAAAATGCTTTAACGACATTCATACTGAATACACTCTCTCTCTTACTTACTTGTGCTCTGACTTCTCTCTAAGTTATTCTCAGCAATAACCCCTCGGATAAGTTACCCCCCGGGTAGACTATCCATCAGTTTGGAACATCGAAAACTTTGGAGTTTCGAAAACCTCATAATATCGAAAATTTGTTGTTTGAAAAACATCAGAACATCGAAAACTTTTAAAAACTTTGATAAGCAGAGATTCATTCAGATATCCTATAATGTAAAGCTTCGATGAATTGCGAAGAATGTCAAGTTTCGAACAATTCTTAGTTTCAAGAAACTGCAAACTTTGAAATATTCAAAACATCGAGAAATTCCAAAAATCTCGAAATCTTTCAGAATATCGAAACCCTAAACATCGAGTTCCCAAAACTCGAAATTCCAAAACTCGAAATTCCAAAACTCGAAATTTCAAAACTCGAAATTTCAAAACTCGAAGTTTCAAAACTCGAAATTTCAAAACTCGAAATTTCAAAACTCGAAGTTTCAAAACTCGAAGTTTCAAAACTCGAAATTTCAAAACTCCAAGTTTCAAAACTTGAAATTTCAAAACTCGAAATTTCAAAACTCAAAATTTGGAAACTCAAAGTTTCAAAATTCGAAGTTTCCAAACTCGAAATTTCAAAACTCGAAACTTCAAAACTCAAAATTTCAAAACTCGAAACTTCAAAACTCGAAATTTCAAAACTTGAAATTTCAAAACTCGAAACTTCAAAATGTCGAGTTTAGGAATTCGAGACCCTAAATGTCGAGTTCCTGCAAAATGAAAACTTCAAATTTTGAAAATCTGAAAACTGGTCTGAATAGCCCTGAAGGTCAAGATTCCTCTTGTATCTGTTTCAAGTCAAAATCGTTTCTGCAACCATGTAAAAGTCTAAACTCGAGATTTCATGTAGAGTTCTTCGAAATTGAAAATTTGCAGAAATCGAAAACAAAGATATGTTGTAGAATCGTTTTGAAGAGGCGATTCCAACATTATAATTTTTACAGATTTTCGTTCACAAACAAGATTACAGGAGCAAAACTTTATATTAAAGAAAAAGAGAAGAAAAGCAGAGCAGTTGTTCGTTAGATCAAAAAAATCGCAGATAGATTCAACCTGTTTCACACCTCGGCTCTGATACCAATTGATAGACCCAATATGCTAACAATCACACAATCATAGCAGATAAAGAAGAAGAAGCAGATAGAAAGATATGAGATGAACAAACGAATCTGGTATACCGTGTAGAACGCCACTGCTCTCCCTCGAGAGAGAGCAGCGGCAAACCCTAATCTCTCTATCTCTACGCCTCTATTCTCTAAAGCCTTCTCAATCGTTAGGGTTTCCATAAGTTAATGTCCTTTTATAGGAGAAGTTGGCTAACTTATGGATTACAAAGAAGCTAACGGACTGATACACATTTGTGGCCCGTATTACATGTTTAATTAATAACTACACAAATACAAAGATATTTAACCAGATTGGACACCATTAAAATATTCTCAACACCTCTTGGTTTTACATTTCACCACAGTATATCACGGTTTACCACCATTGACCACATTTGATCTTCCCACACTCCTTCTGTATTTATAGACTCTGTTGTTGAATCTCTTCCGTTGGCTGAGTGATTCAATCTTGGTCGTTGCTTGATCTACTTGCTTTGTTCCACTTGACTGAGGTAGCATGGTTGATTCTTGTCTTCTTGTGACACGGATAAAATATCTTCACTCAACTTGATTCTTCATTTCAAGGTAAAGATAAAGATGATTTATCTTTATTTCTTTAGCTCTTAGGAAATTCAGTATTTAAGCTGAGTGTTGTTCAATGCTTCAATACAATAAAATCACTTAGTTTTAGTAAAATAATTTTATAAGAAGTATTGTCACAAAATTTCTTATAAAATTACTTTTTATTCTTATTGTCATTTTTACTCCAAGATGGTCTTCTGTTTAATTGTTTTTGTGCTAAGAGAAGAATAGTAGTTTTCAGTGCTTGGATGAGAATACCACGAGGTCTTCTGTTTTGGTGCTAACAGAACACCTGTTCCAGTGTGACCAGAATACTAACGTTCTTCTACTGTAACCAGAACAGAAAGCCACCAGAAGGTTAATCCTCAAGGTTTTCTGATCATATCCGATTTCACAAGGGTTTTAGTTGACTCTTTTCGTACCTTTTTTTGTTTCTTTTCTTATTGTTTTATGGTACGTTTCTTCTCTTTTTAGTACTCTTTGTTTTTCTTGTGTACTTTATCACTAATATTGGAGCACATTACAAAAAACAAAGTAGAACAAATACACGAACTAATAGAATACATGAATAATACAAAAAGGGTGACATCATCAAAACAATACATAACGATCATCAAAATCTAGGGGACCTAACAACAAATGTTGTAATGTTAGAGTGCTAAGTTGTCAAGCCTTTACAATGAAATAAATGCTACTATTTATACCACCAATGGGTGGTTAGACATGCTGACGTGGTGGGTTGTGGATGACTAGGATCCCAACTACCAAATCTTCTGCTTTAAATGCGCTTTCCGCCAGAATCTAGGTTTCCCGCCAAAAGGTGGCGACGAGCTTCCCCATGAGCTTGCCTCCTGGGTTCTGCTAGCCCCATGTTCTAGGTCCCGAGCGTATTGCATCATTTATGGGCCAAGATGTCTGGATGCCTTGGGATACGTGTGTCCCCTGACAAATGTCCATTGAGCCTTGGCAGCCTGTGTGATGTGGGCTAGTTCTGTAGGGGATGAACCTCGCCACAAACTGGGAGAAGGCACCCCTGTGGGCTGAGGGTTCGTGGACGTTCGCCTGGTGGGAGAAGGCCCTCCCAATTGGATTGGGCTTTAGGGGAAGTTTGTCTAGGGGGCCTTAAGGGTTGATGGGCCACCCATTAACCCAACAATATTGAAACATGAAAACTCTAAGGGTTTTTCGCTACCTACATCTCTATTTATAGATATAGTAGCGAACATTATGAAAACAAAAGGATAGTCCCCATAATTTAATAAAAGCCCATTAACTAATTCTAATTTGACAAAGATAAATATAATTAAATTGAACACAATTAAAAATGTCCTAACATACATACCCCATGAGGCAGATGTAAACAATTAAGAAATCATTAATATCATATATATTTCTCTCTAATTCTCAACACTCTCTCCTCTCTACAATATATACCAAAGGTCCAACACATTTCCTTTGAGTTTCGAGTGGTGAGTTTAGTGGATTGAGGTGCAAACAAGTAAGATGGATCAGATATTCAGTAGTAAGTGGGCCATATCTTATTAAATGATAATAAGGGTTCGTATACAACGTACATCAACTACTAGACCCGAGACCTTTCGTCTATCTCAATGGCAAGAGCTTAAGATAATTGCTATTGCTAAGGATAATAAGTTGCCAACTCTTTATAATGAAATAAATGTTACTATTTATACTACCAAGGGGTAGGTGATGTTGCTGATGTGGAGGATTGTGGATGACCACCTTCCCAACCACCAAATCCACTACATTAAATGCGTTTCCCGCTGATATCTTGGTTTCCCGCCATGGCCCTTGGACGAGCGTCCTTTGATCTGAGCTCTTGGATCTGGAGGTACAAGGACTGCGCTCCGTGCGGCTCATGCAAGCTCTCTGGCCGAGAGCCCTAGAATGTTATCTGACACTCATTGGACAAAGGCCTCTTAGGCCGAGCGTCTTGACGACACCCTGGTGGATCAAGATTGGACCTAGAATCCTGCAAGGAAGAGGATCCGTACGGCTGGTGTGTACTGTAGCTGAGGATCCCGAAATATTATCTGACCCTTATTAGGCCCTAGACCCCTAGGATGAGCATCGTCTTCCCTGTGGTCCATCCGACGAGCGTCTGCCATGATGATCCCCATGTTTAGTGGGTAATGGGATGACGTGCTGTTGGACCTATTAACCCAATGATACTTATGAATGTTACTTTGTGAATGGAAATAGTTTGACTTCATCCTACTATATACAAACCGACGTGAGAAAATTGGCAAAGTTCCCGCCTGAACATCCTGCCCAAAGACCAAAGTGTATTTGGAAGTCAATGGGAGATTTAAAGCAATTGGATAAAAAGGGCCTCACGTGGTCAAGATAATCAGGCTAGGATAGTGTAGTGCATTGGAATTTTAAACAATTTGTGGTCATTTCACATCTGTCGTCTATGTCATCTGAAAAGTGAAGAAATACAGAGTAATAGGGAAGCTCGAGATTTAGGTTCAGCTCTATACCCTCCCTGAACTCCTCTCACGAGTCTTGAGAGCGAGAGATGAGATTGTCAAGTGGGAAAGGAGGGCTAGAAGCTGTGGTGCAAGGCAGCAGGCGAGCTGCCCGAGTGGGAGTCGTGGACTGTGGGCAACGTCGCCGATGCGGTCAACAGTTCAGCTGGGCCATCAGGGAGAGTAGCCGGCCTGTCAGCCAACGGAGGCGGCGGAAGTCACGATTCGACACAATTGACGGTGGAAAGCAAGGGACGACTGACAAGGCGAGTGACAGACTGATGGCGTCTTTGCGGCTTGCGGACTTCACAAAAAAGAAGGCGATAACGTTCATCTTTGATTGGAGCTTCTGGCATCAGCGTACAAGTGAGTGAGAAATTCTGCAGGGCAAGAGTTTTACATTTGACTATACCTCTTTATTTGAAACTGAATATATTTTTATTTTTGCTTTAAAGGCTTTTCTATGCGCAACAATAAGCGTTGGATCAGCAGCACTAAGAGTATTATATTTCAACTTCTTGGTGTGATTTATCATAAAATCTGTGATTTTTATTTATGTTCTGAAAATAAAGATTGAGGTTGTTCTTTTCTTTCCTTTTATTTTATTTTATGTTCTTTCTTTGATGAATGTTATATTTCTATCATGAAGATGGATGTCATGAAGTTGCAGCAGGATGAAAAAGGTGAGTAAACATTTGTACTTGATAGTTATTACTTGGTTTGGATATCATATTGATGCTAAACCTTATACTGAGCTAGATATACTTGAAAACTTTCTAAGGAATCCTCTTGCAGATTATGATACTAGGGACTTTTAAATGTTCGGTGAACTCAAGTTTCATTATTGAATGGTTTTGGTTAAACAGACGAAACTTGAGTCTATCATCCCTAAAGTCAGCTTCATCGATCTCAAATTGCACCGAAGTCATGAACTCATAGATTATTTTTTCGCTAGAGTTGTATTTCATATTGAAATACGATCCATGCTCAACTCATGAAAAAATTTCCTAGTGCTCTCATACACTCCTAATTCACGGAGAGCATCATGGCATAAAAAACAGGAGGGTTTTACTTGCCTTGCAATTGTAGTGATGAACCGAGCTCGGTGTTCGTTGTCAGCGAAGATGAGGTCCTCGTAGCCCGGGATGGGTGCCATAGCGTTGGAGCTCTGCCCTTTATCCTTCCTTGGTGCCATTTTTGGAGATTTTTAGCTTGAAATCCGAAACTTGAAATTTGGGGGTAGGGTTTTTCGGACCTTTTGAAACTGGGGGAAAGTTGGATTGGTGGGTATGGGTGTGTAGAGGAAGGTGAGGGGAGTATTTTGGTGGTGGAATGAGGTGATTTGGTGGAGAAATGAAGAAGATATGGTAGAGAGAAGGTTTGAAAATGGAGGTTGGGGAGGAGGGTTCGAAATTTGGGTTTGGGATTTGGGGAAGATGAAGTGATTTGGGCGGTTTTGGGGTTAAAATGCCCGTATACCCGATCGAGTATGGGATGTTACTCGGTCGAGTATGGCTGGAAACCCGACTTTTTGAGAAGACAGTCTCCGGTACCCGATGGGGTATGGCACAATACTCGATCGGGTATGTTTCTTTTTCCACGTTTTGAGGCCTGTACTCGATCGAGTGTGGGGGTCAGTTTCCTTTGAACTTCGCCTTTCTGTACATACTCGACCGGGTATATAGTGATACCCGATCGGGTATCCTTTGTTTTGCAATTCTTGAGCCCTGTACTCGATCGAATGTGGGGGTCAGCTTCCTTTGAACTTCGCCTTTCTGTACATACTCGACCGAGTATGTAGTGATACCCGATCGAGTATCCTTTGTTTTGCAATTCTTGAGCCCTGTACTCGATCGGATGGTGGGAACAGGTTCCTTTTAGCTTTGCCTTTCAGACATAATCACTTAAGTGAAATTTTATTAATTAAAAAATATTGATTGATGATGTGTTGGAATCTTCTTATGATTATTTGCAGAAAATTCATCAAGATTGCTAGCTCAAGAGATCTACAAAGTAAGTCAGATTCATACATAAGAATCGTCATTGATGTATATATATTTGTACTATTGTGTAATGCTACTAAAAAGTTGTGATTTGTTAAAGTTGAAATGCCTTGATACAAATGAGGTGGTTTTGATTTTTTGATTTACTTTCAGTGTTGAACCCATCAAGTATGCCATTTCCTACAAGGTTGCAAGTCGACTGCCATCTACGCCATTGTGTTAGCCATCAGTGAAAATTATCTGAACTCTAACAGTGTAACAAACGATGATGACGATTAACATAAAAGCAGAGCTAATCAACCATCAGAGAACAACAAGAAACTTACCACAACATAACTGAATCTAGAGCTCTGTTAATGTTTCGAGACTGTACTGAGGAAGGGCTGGAAGAGGTCCATTCTCTTGAGTGTTTGGTTTTCCATTATAGAAAAAAGCAAAAAATATACTCTAGATAGCCAACTACTCCATATTTTTATGTCTTTGGCAACTGAAGTGGACATCGCTGATTTCATATGGAATCGGTCGGTGTATCAAAAGTTATGTGTTTGATGAAAAAGTTGACTGATAAGTGTGATAAATCGAAAAACATGTTTATCAAACGGGCCCCTTCATGATTTGACTCTTCCAATTAATAAGTTCTTAATATTTATTACATTTTCTTTTAATGCTTTTACACTTTGCATTTATTTAAAAAACATCATTTATTATTATTGTATGCAAATAATAATACATATCTTACTAATTTTTTCTCGTGCATCGCACGGGTGAGAATCTAGTTAATTCAAACAATCATTCGCCAAATGGCTCAATATAGAACTTAGACTAACATCAAAGTGACTACCCGCATGTGACAATGCCTCCCTAGCTAATTTATGAGCTACACAATTCACATATCGTTTACAAATCATGACAACAAACCTAGCTTTAGAGTGAACTATTTGTCTAATGTCTTGAATAATCATATCAAAGTAAGAATTGATTGCCCCTTCCTCGAGTGTTGTAGGAACATTTTGAACATCCGTCTCTAGAATTTTCTGGTCCCATCAACATAGATAGTGATCACACCCAGACTTGGTTTTACTCACAGGAACTCCTTCTTTATTGCAACCCCACCCATAGATCTGGCATCCTGAGTTGCTCGCCACCCTGATAAAACGTTTGACCAGCCATTAATCACCGAACACCATTAAAAACATGATTATGGGCATACTGCATATATATTTACGCTCCTTCTAGATACTCCCTTCACCCTATAAAATATTATGAATAAATTAATGAATAAATAAGTTATTCCCTTCCTCCATAAAATTCATTCCACCTTACCATTTTGAGATGTCCCCCCAAAATCTTCCCAATTCCCTTTGTTGAGGTTTATTTCTTCAAGTTCAAAGGTCCAACACGTTCCCTTGGCTATCGTTGGAATGTAGAGGTTAAGATGGGTCAAGCGTGTCTGCGTGAATAATGGTCAACAAGAAGAGTCAGATAATCAACTTTATTAAGGTGAATGTGCTGATTACACAGGAAATGGCTGAATAGGATCTTTGGAACATATGGCTAATACAAGAGTTGAAATCAAATATATTGCTGTAAGTACAACTTTTCTAACCCTTTACAATGAAATAAATGCTGATATTTATACTATGGATGAGTACTTGGGGGGAGGGGGTATGTGGTCGATTATGAGTGGATGACCCTCAACCATTAAATATCCCATATTTCTTGCATTGAATGCGCTTCCCGCCAGTGCTGGGGTTTCCCGCCAATCTTCTTGGGCTGAACCTCTATGCCTCTATGGCTAGCTCTCTTCTCCGCCAAGTCTGGTGTTTGGGCCGTTCGATAGTGAAAGGGCCCGGCAGGCCCCGTGCGACCTTTCTTGTGCGTGCTCTGTGTCAGTTGGATCCCATTGAAACTGGGCCTTTTAGGGATATCTTGGATGTGGACTTGGGTCGAGTCCTAATATCCTAACACCCTTTTTGAAAAGTTTCGTGTGATTAACATTTATTTACTCTTTTCTTACTCAACCACAACTAAACATTTTCACTTTATTCCTACTTCGTTAAACTCCTGTCCATATTAAAGCCAGTTGGATTTTATGAAATTGAGGGATTAGTTTAATTAAAAAAGTCAAATGTAATTAAAATAGAGCATCTATTTATAAGAAGGAAGCTAGTATTTTTTTTGGCGCCTTGGCCGATAGTCTGCTGGTTATTTTTCTAGGGTTTTGCTTCACACTAAAGAAAGAAAGCATGAATTCATCGACTCGGATTTTCGGCAAGGGGTGCCGGATTCTGATGGCAGCCGCAAAGAGCTCCGCTGCCCCTACGTCAGTCGCTGCGTCTGCTGTGAAATCTAGAGGCCGCCCAAACGGAATTTTGAAGCCGATCAAGGTTTCTCCGGCTCTAGAGAAATTCATAGGCGCGTCTGAGGTCTCTCGTACTGACGCCGTGAAGAAAGTATGGGAATACATCAAGGCCCAAAATCTTCAGGTTTATCTTTCTCCTTTGTATTTGCATTATTATGTTCATGGAAATGATGGTCTGTTTTGATAATAATTGGTCTGTGTTTGATGAGTTGGGGCATATATTTTTTCAGTTTTCCAAGTGTATTCTGGGATAGTTGTATGCTTCTCTCTGTGTTTGTGTTTGACGATTCTGTTTGCATAGAAAAAATTTCATAGCAGTGTTTAACTTCTTGGAAACTTCTGGCAAGTATAAAACCCCTAAGGAGAAGAGCCATTCTGTTTCTGTTAAAATTCAAATACAAAATAAATGAGTTGGAATCATGCAATGGAACATGACGAATAAAACAAATTTTCAACCAAAAAGCAGTATTCTAGTTCTGCCTAATATGCTCTTTTGGTCTTCTTTGTTGCTTAATCTGTAGCTGCTTCGTTTTCCATAGGTAAAAAAATGATAATGAACCATTAGCGAGACATTCTAACAAGTAACAACGGATGTGTAGCTAAAGAAAAGGATAAACTAAAAATGCATGGATGGCTCGGTGGAAGCTAAAGTAGAGGCTAAGAGCCTTAATGTGGAGAGAAATTCAGTATATTTGAATTTTGAATCGAGTGTTTTGAATTAATTACGATCTTGATGTAAATTTTGGGTTTTTTATTTACATAATCTTCCAAAAATATGGTGTAGCAATTCTTCAGTTGTAGACATGCACTCCCTCCATCCTTCAGAATTTTGCCAACTTTGACCAACATGGAGAATAATGAAGTAAAAATAGAGTGGTTGAAATTTATGCAAAAGAGAGAGATATAATAGAAACCACAAATTAATTGATTAAAATGAAAAATGACAAAATTTTCGGGACAAGCAAAAAAGTAATGATGGTAAAGTTATATGGGATGGTCGGAGTATAACAATGTGGTACCGAAAAAACCACACATGTCACATGTGGCTTTGTTTTTGTCAGTGTTGTCCAATGACGGTGCTATGGCATGTGGTGGTGGTGTGAATACATCATACTGCCATATGAAATTTGTGAAGAATGTTGGTTATGCCGGTGCATGTGACAGTCTTGTCCATTCGGGATTCACCATTAATAGCACTATTTATATGGAAGAGAAAAAAGTTGTGCTGCTTCTCTTTATACCTTGCCACATGAGCTGTATGTTATATAGTGTACCAATACCGTCTCTTGATAAAAAATTGTGTCTTGTCTTAATCCTACAAGTTTAGCAGGCTCATGAAGCTGAGTTGAGCAGTGCCCATTAGGGCTGGGACTCGGAACCGTAAAACCGGGAAAACCGATCCGAACCGAACCGAAATTTCCGGTTCGGTTCGGTTCCTATAATTTTGGACTTCGGCTTTTTTTTTTGGTTCGGTTCCTATAGTAGTTCACTGGTTCGGTTCTAGTTCGGTTCCGGTTCCTAGCCAGGAACCGAACTTCTTATACATTGCATGAGTAATCTTCATTTGAGGTGCTTCTAAGTGGAATTTTTTGATGAAATTTGTGAGCTTGTTGTTCATGAAATAATGATTATGTCCACAAAATTTGAGCTTAAAATGTAACAGGGAAGTCAGTTAAATAAATTATTGAAAAGCATGACGCCAAAATATATAAAAAACACAATGTTTTTCAATATTTTATTTAACTCACTTCCCGATTTAATTTTAAGATAAAATTTGGTACATATAATCTACATTTCATGTAGAACACGCTCACAAAATTTTATCAAAAAAATCTCTACGGAAGCACCTCAAATGGAGGTGGCCAGACGGCGTTCATGGCAGAAAATTATTGTAAAAAATATTTGTTTTGCATAATATACCTTATATATTGTGGACCAGGCCAATTTGAGTAGTTATTATTTTAATACTTTAGTTCACTTTGTTTGTAATTGTATTTGTTATTGGAGTTCACCTCATAAGGAATTAATTCTGTGTTGATGATGTTTATTTCTAAGTACTTTTTACTCATTGTGCATTACGAGTAGAAGAATATTATTTTGGGGTTGAATTATCTGCTATTAGATGTGTACTTTGGATCTATTGAACTTTTTTTTGCTTGACAGTTGATGCCTATTTTAAACCGAGATTCTTGTTATGTTTAAATTTAATGTTGTACTGGCATTTTTTTATATTTGAACATTGAGATATCATGCATGTATAATGTAATGGTCATAATTTCATGATTTTAAATTTGTATTCTTTTTATGTAACTAAAGGTAAAATGTGTTCATTTTAGGAGGATAATAAATTTTTATAAGGAACCGAAAAAAGGTAAGAATCGAACCGAATTTAACCAAAACCAAACCGAATTTAACCAGAACCGAACCGAATTTAACCAGAACCGAACCGAATTTAACAACTACATTTTTAACTAGAACCGAACTGAATTTAACGCCAACGATTTTTATACGGTTCCATCAAATTTTAATAAGAACCGAACCGATCCCAGGCCTAGTGCCCATGATATGGAAAGAAGAAGCTCATTATTACTATTATTATTCATTATTTTTAGTTTCCTAAAGTATTAGGTGTTAATTTCATATGGTTATTATTAGTTGCAGTTTCCTAATAGTAGAGATATTCTATTTTAGTTAATTTCCTAATAAAAGTATTGTAATAGAATCAGGGTTACTCAAATACTAGACCACCAAGACGCTTGGGACTAGTATAAATAGAGGTGCCATATTAATGAATAAAATCATTAATCTTCTTGTGGCTCGGTGGAACTGACAAACACTTCCTTGCCTTGGTGGGATTTCGGGAAGCTGAGTTGTTTTTCCAACTATCATACTTAACATTTTTCTTTTTATCTCCCAAGTCCCAACCACGTCCGTAACAATTTGGTATCAGAGCCATCCCCTTCCTACTTCCTTTTTTCTTTTTCCTTGACCAAAATGGGTGAATGCACTCAAGCGTCTGGAAAAGAAGGAAATAAAATCCTGTAGGGTTGAAGATCATGTGATCTTTTAGCGATTTGTTGCCCTACTTCCAGAGAGCAAATTTTGAGGAGCTATCATGCCAAGAACACCCTCTAATTATCCCTAAAGTTAGGTATGTTGTTTCTTTCTTAAAAAAGGCAGCACACTGGTTCAGGCCTTCAGGGACTCAAAAGCTGAAGTAATCCTCCCACCTTACGTAAGGTTGAGTTGTATCTTTTCTTTCGCAAATTTTCTACATTATTATTCATCTTGAAGAAGATCCTAAAAAAGGAGAAAATCCGGAAAAGAAAAAAACTGAAAAAAAGAAAAATCAGAAAAATGAGCTCTCAGGATTTTACGTGTCTCAGATTCTAATTTATGTTGTCCCATTGATGAGTATGATTTATAATTTATATAGTGTCTTCGCGGACAAATCGGTTAAAAATATTGAAGTTTTGAAGTCTTATGGGATGGAACAACATGCTTTGGTATATTTTAATTCCATCGAGGATGGAAGTGCTTCGCAACTGGAATTCTATGGGAAAAATATTCACGATAGTTGTTGTTCTATGAGGATGCGTTATGAGGTTCCGTAATCGGAAGATGAATTATCCGAACTTCGGCAAATAGGTACTCTAGATGAGTATATTAGCCAGTTTCAGTGTTTATTGGCACGCACGAAAGGCTTAGCTTCGCAAACTCAGGTGAACTTCTTTGCAGCAGCGAGCGGGACTTCAAGATGGCATCCGTCTTGCATTGGAATGTCAATATCCTGGCAACGTGGATGTGGCAATCAGTTTGGCAAAGCTATTGAGTGAAGGAAACACTCGCAATATGATTTTGTATCTCCGCTAACAACAGCTCTGTGGTGACATTGGCACATTGCCAGAAGCTCCTCCACCAAAATGTCAATTTTTTCCCTCTGCAGTCGTCAACATCTCCATTGTTCCCACAACCCTTGTTGGATAAGCAATCATTGTTATCCACACCACCACCGATTATGTCACTGCCATCAGAGCAAGTTTGTTCGCAACAAGCCAATCTATCACTGTCAACAACATTCTATTCTTGTTGTCACCCGTGGAGCTGACACCACCAGTGTTGGCACCTTCATCCTTCCCTCTTACATATTTGCTGCCCACAACCAAATTGCAAGAAATCATATGGACCTTCCTAGCAAGAGAAAATTTTGATAAATCTGGCCAAATATTGGGACATTGGGCCATTACACATAAATCATGTGGCTACAATTAACATGTTGATGATTGATCATATAATAATGCCGTTTGATCGTGGAAAGACTGGTTGGCATGAGTTATTAGCTTCAAGCTTGAGGACAAGCTTGATATTCAAGAGGGGAGTGAGGATATTGAAAGAAGAAGCTCATTATTACTACTTCGTATTATTCATTATTATTATTAGTTTCCTAAAGTATTAGGTGTTAATTTCCTATGGTTATTATTAGTTGCAGTTTCCTATTAGTAGAGATATTCTATTTTAGTTAATTTCCTAATAAAAGTATTGTAATCGAATTAGGGTTACTCTAATACTCGACCACCAAAACTCTTGGGACTAGTATAAAGAGAGGTACCATATTAATGAATAAAATCATCAATCTTCTTGACAATAATTTGATTAGAACATGGACAACCAATAATAATAAGAATAATAGAATTATATTAAATAATGTCATAATGTACAAATAAGGGTGTCGGGCCATATAAATCATGAGCTTAGGTTGGCCCTTAAAAATAGTTTTACTATAAGTAGGTCAAGGTTGGAAGAAGGGAGTTCGGTAGAAATTCTGTTAGGTTTGGGACTTAGGAGAGGGGACTGCTCTAAGTGTTTCAACTATATGTCTCTTCTCTTTCGTATGATTTCTACCATTGCAACTTTGCGATCTTCATCAATATACTGCTATATTTTGCTGCGTTGATTGAGTCTCTATCATCTGTATCAGAGCACTACATGGCCGGTGTGAAAATTCTGGCACTGAAAATTCTGCCGCAGATGGAGAACAACAAGGAAAAGGTAGAACAACCTCAACGATCGTTCACCGATTGGGCGACAGAGATGTGGAGCTGGTTGGCCGAGATGCGCAACAAG